CAGAAGGGAGTTTCTGCCTCTTCCACCTCAATTAGGATTCTCCTTTGTTGCAGGAGTTCCCTTTATCCAGTTTTCAGTTCTCTTTCAGGGGTAATTTTTCCACGAGTAGTTGTAAATTGGCTGTGTCCGTGGGACGAGGTGAGTTCAGAGACTGCTTACGCCGCCATCTAGACTTCTCTCCTTGAGTCCTGTCTTGCCTGTCTTGCTTATCTTCTGCTATTTCTCCATGACTGGGTGTGATGTGTTTACCACAGCATACAGAAAAAGAACCAGCCATCGTGTGCTGGAATCACACTTGTGGGTTGATGAGAGGGAAAAAAGATGCTATACATTAGATGGCACAAGAAGATGGCAAAAACAATTCTTGGCAACTCTCAAACAAATGGTAAGTATAAGAATGGTTAAAGAATGTTCAGTAGAAGGTTCTGAAATGCTGTCACTGAATGAATACACTGAATGACTTTATTTTTCGCATGATCTACCCATTCATTTATTCATTTTCATGAGCAGTTTAAGAACTCGGGAGACATAGGTTCTAGGAATACAAATAGTAAAGTATAGTCTCTGCCCTCAGGGATCTCAGTCTGATGAGAAAAATTAGAACACAATATAAGAGATCGCTCAGGCTGCAATGAGCTCATGGAAGAAGCAGCAACTAACTTGTCTCTGAGATTCTGGGAGGGGAGGAATAAGTAGAGTTCACAGCGCATCCAAGACAATGACACAAGAGAGACTGAGTAGTCTGGTGCAGCTGAAATGTAGGGCATAGAAAATGCGGTGCTAGGAGCAAAGCCTAAAGAGGTATGTAGCTGCAAACTTCAAAAGGTTTCTTGCCGTCAGGAGATTGGCCTCTATCCTGTGGATATTTGGGGGCCTTTGAAGATTAAACAGATGTAGCATGATAGGGTCTATTTTAGAAAGATGAAAGGAGTCTAGCATAAAATGACCAGACATTTCTCTGCAGAAATTTAAAAAGTTTATTATAGTACAATCCTATTGTAGTTGGAGGCATCATTCATGGGACAGTCTCTTAAATGGCTCTCCCCGCTCTTGCTCCCCTCCAGTCATCATCGATACAGCCTTAATAAGTCATCTTCAGACACATAAATCACAGGTCCTCATATCATGTCTCTGTTTAAATTTATCCAATGGCTTCCATTACACATAACATGATATCCAAACTCTTTCCCAAAGGCCCTATGCGATTCTGGCCTCTGTCTGCTGCTTTATGGCTTCAGCTCATAGCTCCCTTGTCCTCATTCACCACCCTCCAATAACACTGGCCTCACTCTTCCTCCAGATCGTCATCCAACATGCTCCTCCTCTTCATTGGGGGAAACCTCTCAGAGCTTGCATTTTTAAAAAGCACCTTAACTGGGGCCAGCTGGTGGTGTAGCCATTAAGTGTGCGCACTCGCTTTTGCAGCCCGGGGTTTGCGGGTTCAGACCTGGGCACGCACTGAGGCACCACTTGTGAAGCCATGCTGTGGCAGCGTTCCATATAAAGTGGAGGAAGATGGGCATGGGTGTTAGCCCAGGGCCAGTCTTCCTCAGCAAAAAGAAGAGGACTGGTGGGGCCGGCCTGGTGGCGCAAGCGGTTAAGTGCGCGCGCTCCGCTGCGGAGGCCCCGGGTTCGCTGGTTCGGATCCCGGGCGCGCACCGACGCACTGCTTGGCAACCCATGCTGTGGCGGCGTCCCATATAAAGTGGAGGAAGATGGGCACAGATG